TCAAAGTGGTGGTTAGATTACACGAGATACAAGAATCTATGGTATCCGATAGAGACAGGTGTTTCAAAATCACTTTTGGAGAGAGTTATTCAGATTGCAGAGGACTATGCTAAAGAGAAGCACTGCTTACCACCCTCAAACTGATGGACAGACATATGTGGTCAACAGAAGATTGGAGACATACCTACGATGCTTTGCATCATAGACACCCTGCTTGTGAGCAAAGTGGCTGGCATGGGCACTGGTACAACACATCGTACCATTCGGTATCCCAAATGACTCCTTTCAAAGTGTTGTACGGCAAGGATCCCCCTCACTTGGTACACTTTGGACAGAATATCACATCAATCTTTTCAATAGAACAGTACTTAGAAGAGAGGAACAAGACACTAAAGGAACTAAAAAGACATGTTGAGTGCCCAGCAAATTATGAAAAGGCAGGCAGATGAGCACAGAAAGGACATTCATTTCAAGGTAGGGGATAGGGTGTATCTAAAGCTTTGACCCTACAAATAGCGAACTGTGGCTAGTAGGAGAAATGAAAAGTTGGCCCCACGGTACTTTAGCCCTTTTGAGATAGAAGGAAGGATCGGAGCTGTGGTATATGGACTGAAGCTATCTCCGACCGCGACCATACATCTAGTATTCCACATGTCAAAGCTAAGGACAGCTATAGGGGATCAAACTACTAGTTTAGAGTTGCCAGTAACATTGACTAAAGATTTGAAGTGGTATTGGAACCACTAGAATTGCAAGGGGTATGCCAGGGAGGAGGGATCAACGAAGCATTAATCAAATGGAAAAACCTCCCCGGTTATGATGTTGCATGGGAACCCTACGAAAGGATGCAAAATCAATTCACGCCCTTTCACCTTGAGGACTAGGTGGATCTTTAGGAACAGGGTATTGATATACCGATCCAGGAGGGACTCGTCCAGCCGACCCAGCACTTGGGCCGGCCCGTGGTCTACAACAGACGTAAGCCTGCTATCCCACCTAAGCCAGCCGCCAGCCCTGTGGGGCCCATTGCTTGTAGAGAAAAAATCTAATTGACGGTAAGATTGGATTAAGGATAGGGGGCAGCTGATTTAAGGGCCCACTTGCTTCAAGAGGAAGGGAGAATTTAGGCATGATTGGACCACGAGGAAGAGGGGGTGATAGATTCATGGGGTTATTTTAGGTATGTTTTGATTAAGGGAGGGGTTAATTAGTAATTAAGAGTATTGTGTGTATGCTATAAATAAAGGGATAATTTTGTTTTTGTGCCTTGTGCCTAAAAACTACTAATAATCTCATCAAATGTGACATTCTTATGAATGAGACCTATATCTTATGTAGGAGTCATACTAAAACACATTCTCATCTCTTTTTTGGTTGCGGGTATATGATGCAACTCATCAAGTGTCTTCTTCTTGAGGAAAACATTTTTCTTTGATATGTCCTCACTACAAGCCTTGTGATACATAAATTCTCAAAAAGAAACTCAATGCACGACATGACCGTTGGGTTGAATTCCTTCAAGAGTATACATATACAATCAGGCACAAGGCTGGATCTGAAAATAAGGAAGCGGATATCTTAAGCCATCGGATAATAATAACTAAGGAAATGAGGGCTGAAATGATTGGATTTGAAAGAATTAAAGAAGATCATAAGGACTGCCCTGACTTTAAGGAAACATACTCCTTACTCATGACTGGATGTGAACGAATAGTTGATGATTTTCTTTTTGGAAGACGGATATCTGTTCAAGTCTCAAAAGGTCTGCATCCCCAACACTTCACTTCGGGAATTTCTCATATGGGAAATACATGCTGGAGGATTAGCTGGTCATTTCGGACAAACCAAAACCATTGCCTCTATAGAAAATTGATTCTATTGGCCTAGCCTGAAACGCAACGTAAGTAAATTAGTGAGTAGATGTCATATTTGTCATCTAGCCAAGCAGCGGAAACAGAATACGGGACTCTACACACCCCTTCTTGTACCCAATTGCCCTTGGCAGGACGTGAGCATGGATTTCGTCCTAAGCCTACCCAAGACCCTTAGAAAGCATGACTCAATTTGTGTGGTCGTTGACCGTTTTTCTAAGATGGTCCATTTCTTCCCGTGCTACAAAACTTTGGATGCTTCTCGGATTGCAAAATTATATTTCGATGATATTGTTAGACTGCATGGATTACCCAAAATCATAGTTTCTTAAAGATATGTTAAGTTTACTAGTTATTTTTGGAAAACCTTATGGCACAAGATGGGCACAAAACTCCAATTTTCCACTGTTTTTCACCCCCAAACTGATGGGCAAACCAAAGTTGTTAATAAGAGTCTAGGTAATCTTTTAAGGACTTTGGTAGGAGAACACATCCGAGAGTGGGATTCCAAACTTCCAATAGCTGAGTTCGCATATAACAATTTTGTTAATCGAACCACAGGTCTAAGTCCCGCTGAAATTATGTACAGATACCAGCCTAAACAGCTTATGTACTAAACCTTCTTGAAGGTTTTAATATAAATCATATATTTAATATTGAAGATCTAATAGTCTTTGAGGGACCAGAGTTTAACCCCAATAATCCACTATATGATGAGCCTTGTGTGAACTTACCCAGTGAGAACCCTAGCCTACCTCCACTCCCCAATCTGTCAAATTTACCTAATGCGGAGAAGATTAAAGCAATACTCGACGATGAAATCATTTCCACTAAAGAAGGTGGGCGCCAAAGGTACCTAATTCATTGGGAAGGAAAAATGGTGACAGAGGATACGTGAATCGAGCGAGATGAGCTGCAGAGATTTGATCCAGATATGTTAGAGTTATACGAGAGTTCTCGAGATGTTCACTCGATGGGGTCGAGTTTTCTTCCACCCGAGAAGAATGATGGGGACATCAGTATGAGATTTTGGCGCGTTTATCAGAAGAGGCATTGGAGATCAACGACCACGATTATGAGCCTTTATTTTTAATGCATTTTATGTATTGTTTATTTTATATTTCAGTTTTTCCTATTTTACCCCTATGAGTAGTTAGCTTGATGTTGTAGCCCTGAGGGCACTTAAGTCCTTTTCTTTTTTCATGATTGAGGCTCATATATAAGGGCCCCTCTATTGTATTTTGATGATGATTTGATGAATAAAAATTCTAGATTTTGTCTTCTTCAATATTGTGAGCTTTGAGAGAAGAAAGAGAACATAGGTGGGTGATTGTAATACCCGTCAGTCTTTGGAAGAGTCCAAGGCTCACGGCTTATCCTTACCTTCCTCCTCCTCTACTTCCACTGTTGGCCACCCTTCCTAACCCACCCCAAACCGCTAGCCTTGCATTTCCCCCACTTTCCCACAATCGGCCTCCCTCCACCTCACTACTACCGGCCTCCCCTTGTCGACCTCCCGCCGACCCAAGCCCCACCAAACCCTCCCTGATCGCCAGCTCACTCAAGCCCATCCTATCCGCCAGCCTTGCAAATCTCAAGCCCTAGATTCCCCATTCAAATTCCCTCCTAATTAGTTTCCTAATTTATCCCCATGTTGATTCAAAAAGTTTATAATTTGAATTCAAATTAATTTGAATATCAAATCTCTTTCCTAAATCAAGAGATCTAATTTAGGAAATCCCTTAAATCAAATCTCAAATTAAATCTTAGAATTGATTTCAATCACCAATTAAGAGTCAAGGGCCCATATATATTGAACCTAGACACCCTCTATCCCCTCTTATGGCCGGCCCTCTCTCTCTCTATCCCTAATTAATGCTTCCCCATTAAGGCCTTCAATCAACACCCAATTAGCCCCAATTAGTCGCCGCCCCCTTCCCCTCTCATCTCCATTAATTCCTCTCCACTTAAGGGAGGTTTGAATTTCTAATTTCCCTCCCTTTCCCACTAAACAAAATCTGAAATATAAATTCAGATTTTGTTTCTCATCCATTATAATTACTACAAGCAAGAATCAAGAGGCCTCTTCCTAACCCTAGCCGCCCCCTCCCCAACTCGATCCCTCTCCAACCGCCGGCCCCTTCCTCCCTTCCTCCTTCACAAACCGCCGGCCCTCAAGGATCCCCAATAGAGGACGCTCCTTTATCCATGGATGGTTGATCCTGATATAGATCACAGCTTCGCTTACGATTCTCATGGGCAAATAGATATTCTTCAGTCACCGTTCTTCGACCCCCACTGGGAGATAGAAAAGTCCATCGACGACTACGTCGACCGTATACTATTCCACCTAGCCGAGACTATCGACGAACAACGACCCTCCGGACAGTGGCAACTCATCGAACATCCACCTGTGTCACCTTCTCTGGCTGCCTTCCCGTGGATCAAGACCGTTGGTGTCCTATCTCTTTTGGCGGCGCCATTTGGATTGCTGAAATTCTCTCTCCGCTAAAGCCTTTCTTAGAGCGTGAGTGAGAGGAAACTCTAGGTGAATGTTCAAAATATTAACCCGTGGATTCTTATTACGACATAACTAGTATTATTGTGATTTTGATATTATTTAGTTGTTTTATTCTCCTAACTTATAATTCTTTTCTTTATTTGATGCAAAGCGAGCTATTTTTATTGATGTTGGTACTACTGAATGGGCTACATTCATTTAGTCCGAGGTGGTTGCTCACTGAAGCTCTCTCATTGTGCTTAGATGGCGGTCTTGATGGGCTAAAAACTACTAATAATCTCATCAAATGTGACATTCTTATGAATGAGACCTATATCTTATGTAGGAGTCATACTAAAATACATTCTCATCTCTTTTTTAGTTGCGGGTATATGATGCAACTCATCAAGTGTCTTCTTCTTGAGGGAAACATTTTTCTTTGATATGTCCTCACTACATTATTATTATTATTATTATTATGTTTTTTTGACAGCTTCAGTTTTTTACCGTAGTGTAGCCTCTTACTCATTTATCCCCCGACCAAAGGTCAAGAGAGCAGGTGAGAACATCATAAGATAAAAACATAATAAAATTATAGATTAAAGAGCGTAGGTAAGAACTACACTTGCCTTCAAGCACTGTTCCAAATACAATATTCGCGTTATCAAGCTCTGGGCATGGTCCTGGCCCGGTCGTCACCAAGAACTCAACATTCCTATAATCCGGATTGAGCTTGATTTCCTCGTCATCGTCATTCTGCGCCAAGCAAAGCGAAAGTATCCCCGGCCTAGAATGCTTCAGTTGAAACGCCTTGGGATTGACAGACTCCATATTTCTCGCCAAGTCCACAGGCGGCCGCACCTCCCCCTTTTCTCTCCTCCCCTGCCGGCCGGCGACAAAGAACTGACCTTGAAAAATCTTATGGATAAGCGTTCCACGATAGCCAGAAGGGTTGCACAAGGCCTTGAAGTTGGCCACAGTCTGGGGAACAAGCTTGCCATATAGCCCAAAAACTACGCGACCAATGGGTTCCGCGTCCGGGCAAGCGGCAAGGTCGAAACCAATAGGGCGGTCAGAGTTGAAGTAGCTAGGGCAGAGGCTAAAGTCCATAAAAACGCGGTCAGTAACAGCAACGGAGACATCCGCAGGTGAATCTGAGCTGGATAAGGCGTTGGATGCGTCGACCGGAAAAGGAGTGAGAGCGCCGGCAGCAGAGAGGAGGATAAGTGAGCGGCGACCAGGGAGGGAGAGGGATTTCTTGATTTTCGCTGTAGGTTTAAGGTTAGGGACCGAAGATGGAGGCGGAAGGAGGCAATGGAGAAGTGGAGGAGAGGAGGGGGAGATCGCGCGCGAGCCCATTGGGGTAGTGTACGTAGCGTCATAGCAACGGATAGGCCCAGGATAGAAGAGAGCGACGTTCAGTGGCGGTGAGAATTCATTGCCAAAGGATTGGTGCGAGTCTTTTACAGTGCAAAAGTCTGCATGATGGGATAATAAACTTTGGCGAATTTTTTTTTTTTTTGGGACATTTAGGCCATTTAAGGCAAACTCACACACACAACGCATACACAAGGACTCGAACCTTGGACCTCTTAGTTGGAAGCCTAAGCTCTCAACCAATAGGCCAAGGGGAGTTTGTGTAACTTTGGCGAATTTAGCTCTTAAAAAAATTTTCATTTATACATCTAAATTTTTAATTTTAATATTTACATAATCTATCACATTTCTTCAAACATGATAAAGCATAAGTCTCTAATGATATTGATGGAGAGTATAAAATTAACAAAAACTAGTTGGGAAGGAACATTTTCATCGGAGGGTGGAGCTTTCACCGCTTTCAATTAGTACTAGAGTATTGAGATTTTGTTAGGAAGGACATCAGTTTCTGTTGGGGAGGACATTGACAAGATAAGCGGCATACGAAGGTGACAATCAACATTAATATATTGCAAAGATGATTATAGGATTAGTGGTGTTCGAAGCTCGACCATAATGATGTGGCAACAAGATTTGGATGGCATACAAAGCTTTGGCATGTAAGTAGTATTTTTATTGTTATTTAAAAGTTTAAGTTTATGTAAATAAATAGTTAAAATTAGGCATTAAATATAAAAAGAGAAAGTTTAATGCCATATATGCAAATGCCCCAAATTTTTTGGAGATTTACATACGTTACTCTCAAAACTATCTCATTTACATATTTAACATATAAACTTCATTATTTATGAAATATGAAACTTTGTTGATAAAGCTCGACAAAATTGCAAAAAATGAAGATGAAGTTGTGACAGATCTTGCTCCCTCATTTAGTTCACAATTGAATGTCCTAATATCCTTCTCATTGTCTGCTAGTTCTTGAACTCTCTCTCTCAATCACTCTGCACCCCAACCCACTTCAGCTCTCCCTCCTATTGTCTCCCCTCTAGCTCCTAAACAAATTACCTCTCTATGAGAAAAAAGTGAGAAGTCGGGTGAGACCTTGTGAAAGAATGCATTTCCATGACTAATAACATATTGAAAAGTTGTGTCGAGAGCTCATGATTTCGTGGTTGAGAGTTTCATAAGCTCCGTTAATGGAGTGTTATATTTTGTAAATAGAGAATGCTATGCTAGGTTGATCAAGATTTTCACTGGCTAAGAACAGTGCTTCCTCGTCACAAAAAAAAATATAAATAGAGAATGCTATGTCTTAAATATACATATAAGATAATTTTGAGTGCAATATATATTAAATTAATATTATAATATTTAATAGTTGATACATAATCAAAAAATCATCTTGATCAGGCATGAATCTCGAGGCAAAATCAATTTGAAAATTTCTGAAATTAAATTGGGACCATCCAAACTCCGATTTTTGTAAACTTATAGTCAAACTGAGCGTCTCGGAATTACGAACCCAACGACACCAAAAGAGACGCAATCCGAGCCCAAATGAGTTCAAGTCAAGGACTCAAAGCGATGTTGGAAGGTTCAAACCACAATTTAGATTACCAAACGGTTTCCAAACGTGACATGCTTATAATCGAATCGAGCAACTTGACAAGACGAATGCAACGAGCCCAAGATCACTGAATTCTGAAATCACCAATACATCTAAAAGTCTTGTAAATGGTCTATGATCAAGGGAATCAACATTGGTCGTCCATCCAAACCACTCCAACTTACCCCTAATCTTCCATCTATTTATAAGTCATGCCACTCTAGAAAATCAATAAATAGAGCCCCCCTTTCTCATGAAAGGGAACCCCCAAGCAAGGAATCCAGAGAGAGATCGGAGATAGCTCTTGCCTCCTCGCTCCTCCTTGACCACCGCCCGGACTTCTGCCAGACCCCCACCTGATGCCGGAATTCTACCGGACAACCACCCGACACTAGAGTTCTACCAAACCACCGCATGATGCCAAAGTTCTGCCAGACCACCCCCTGACTTAAGAGTTCCGCCGGACTACCGCTTGACGTCGGACTTCCGTCAAGACCACCACCTAACACAGGAGTTCCGCCGATGGTGAGTTCCGCCGGACCACCGTCTAACATTGTACTTCCATTAGGACCACCACCTAATGCCAGACTTCTGCTAGACCATCGCCCAACGTAGGAGTTTCCTCTGACGTCGGAGTTCCACCGGACAACCGCCTGATGCTGGACTTCCGTCAAGACCACCGCCTGAAATCGAACTTCTGCCGGACCAACACCCGATGTCGGAGTTCCGCTAGACCACCGCCCGACACTAGACTTCTACCGGACCACCACCTGATGTCAGAGTTCTACCAAACCACCGACTAAGTCCCGAACTTTTGTCGGACCATCGACAGAAGTTGGAGTTCCACCATACCACCGAATAATGCCCAGACTTATGTCAGACCACCGCCTAACACTGGAGTTCTACCAAACCACCATCGGACCACCGATTGAGGCCCAAACTTTTGTCAGTCCACCAACATAAGATGGATTTTCACCAAACCACCTAATAACGTCGAAACTTCTGCCAGACCACCGCCTTATGGCTACGATCTTTTTGGCCCATGTCTCATGCCGACTTTGGTCCTTCTGACCTCCGCCGCCTACTATGATCCTTCTGACCTCCCTCCATCGCCAGACAACGATCTTTATGACACATATCACCTACCAACTATGATCCTTCTGACCTCTATCACCTACTACGATCCTTCCTACCGCCATCGCCAAATAACAATCTTTTTTACCCTTATCTCTTGTCGACTACAGTCCTTCTGACCTCCATTACCTACTACGGTCCTCTCGACCTCCATCACTAGATAATGGTCTTTTTCATCCCTATCTTATACCGATTCTGATCCTTTCGACCTTCGTCGCCTACTATGGTCCTTTCGACCTCCATCACGAGACAATGGTCTTTCTAACCACTGTCTCCCGCCGATTACGATCCTTCCAACCTCCCTCGCTAGACAAACCACTGTCTCCTACTAATTACGGTCCTTTCAACCTCTCTCACTAAACAACGATCCTTCTAACCACCATTACCAGACTACGGTCTTTCCAACCTCTATTGCATGTCGACTATTGTTCTACCGACTAAACAAACATTTCAATACTAATTCTTCCAATTTCCACCATATAATATGATGTACATTTGATACATCAACCCAAGGCCTTTCCCCAAATGAAGGGCCTCATTTGTAATTGACTACAAATAATGGTGGATTCATTCAAACTAGGCCAAGCCCTATAGTTTTTTCCCCTTTTTAGAGGTTCACGTAAAAACTTTGGTATTTCTTATAAATACTACATTCTCTCTTTTATCTAGTTGTGTGCTAGATCTTCATAAAAAGCTAAGACATTAAATTTATATTTCTCTACCACCACAAATATTCCAAGACGTACAGTTTGGCATTGTCTATGGGAATATGATTCCCGATTGGGAGGCAATTTTTGCTCCAACCTTAAAAGGTCGTTCATGTCAACATTTTGGCATCAGTTGTTGCTGCATCAATTTTATAGAAAATTAAAAGTCAACTAGTGCACAACTTTGACTACAGCATTGGTCAAGAATATTCCTCCAGTACTTCCAACATCCAAGACAATATATAGGGAAACTATTTTCAGGAAACTCCCAGCGAAAGCAAGGATACTTCTAATAAATCAAAAGGTCGTTCATGTCAACATCTTGGCATCAGTTGTTGTTGCATCAATTTTATAGAAATTAAAAGTGGACTAGTGGACAACTTTGACTACAGCATTGGTCAAGAATATTCCTCTAGTACTTCCAACATCCATGACAATATCTAGGGAAACTATTTTCAGGAAACTTCCAGCGAATGCAAGGGTACTTCCAATAAATCAAAAGTCCTTAACTAGGATTCTACTCCTTGGGAAAGCTTTTAATGTCGACCTCAAAAAGACAATAACAATCTTAAGATAGACCATTCTTCACATTCGATTCAGGATACACGCAGTATTTCCCCCCTCCCATCAAGACAAAATTAATCCCAAGCGGAGTTGATTCGACCTCTTTCACACAAGTTAATGTCTCAATGTTGAAACTTATTGAGTTTGAATTAAGTTATTAGACCAAAGCTTATGTCCTAGCGGCTAACCAAGAGGGGGTGAATTGGTAATTTAAAATTTTTTTTCCATATATTTTAAACCAATAAAAAATCTTATAGTGAAATTTTCTTAAAAAGATTTTTCAACCACAGATCAACAAAAAATAATAAAGTAAAACAACAGTGAAAAATAAAAAGACATAAGATTTATAGTGGTTCAGTCAAACACGACCTACATCTACTCCCTGAAGTCTCCCACTTTAGGTATTGCACTATTACCACTTAGTGTCTCTCCTTTTGCCCCCTACAGCAAGGCGGAGAAGCCTTCACAAAAACTCTCTTCCACCACTACCCGGTGCGGCAGAGAACCATCGTCCTTTTACACCCTCCAAGTGTAGGCAGAGTACCTTTCGCTTTTCACACTCTCCAAGTGTAAGCAGAGAACCTTCCGCTGTTCACACTCTTCAAGTTTAGGCAGAGAACCTTCCGCTGTTCACACTCTCCAAGTGTAGGCAGAGAACCCTTTGTCGTTTCACACTTCTCCAAGTGTTTGCATAGAACCGGATCTTCTCGAAAGATCTTCTTAAAAGAAATCTAGAAGTATAAGAGAAAAGAGTGAAGTAATCACAATTCATAAATGAAGATTCTTACCTTTGAGTATCAAGTGAACCCTTCACGCTCCAGAAGTAAGAACTCTCCTTCAAACACTCTCTTTCACTCTCTCCTTGAATCTCCCTTCAGTTTGCACGAAGACCAATGGACAAAAAGATTTTCAGACAGATTTAAGTGGGCCTTTTATAAGAAAGACACAAAAAATCGTCCAAAAACTACAAAATTTCAATTCAGTATTTACTGGATCGTCCCGTATGATC